TTAAAAAAGAAAAACTGAAATATCACATGGTCCTAAGTATTCAGACCCTTTGCTCAGTATTTAGTAGAAGCACCCTTTTGATCGAATACAGCCATGAGTCTTTTTGGGAAAGATGCAACAAGTTTTGCACACCTGGATTTGGGGATCCTCTGCCATCCCTCCTTGCAGATCCTCTCCAGTTCTGTCAGGTTAGATGGTAAACGTTGGTGGACACCCATTTTTAGGTCTCTCCAGAGATGCTCAAGTGGGTTACAAATCACATACCAGAGGTAACATTATTGGCGTTCTGTTACAGTACAGTACTCGAACATGCTCCCACCACAATGCTATATTCTGCAGATTTATAATATCCCAAAAAGGATAGTTCAACCCAAAATGAATATTGTCATAATTTACTCACCCTCAAGTTGTTCCAAACCTGTATGATTTTTTTTGCTCTTCTAAATCCGAAGGAAGATGTTTGTAAGAATGTTTGTAACCTGACAGTTCTGGGGCACCATTTATATTTATATATTAGGGGTGCAACGGTTCTCGGTAAAAAAAAAACGAAATCCACACACGGTTCGGCATGCACTAGGACCCGCGGTTCAACTTAAATCTGACAATGCATCTGTAATATGGTTTGTCAAGAGTTCGGCTAATGCATGTTTCTGTTGATGGATACAAATTCTGGCTTCCCAATACATTACAACAAGAGCAATGAGAGAGAAAAAGCAATACGAGACAAACCAGTCACTCTTTGTTCAATGCGAGTGCTGTATGCTGGAATAACTCATTTATGCCGTCATCACGTGTTGATAGCGCAGGTGAGACCTGAACAGCACACGATGCTATCTGTGCTTAAAGGCAGGGTATGTAATTTTTCAAAAACACTTTAGAAAACTGATTCGGGACGAATAGCAAAACAAACTTGTAGCCAATCAGCAGTAAGGGGCGTGTCTACTCATGATGTGGAGGAGAGAGCGTTCAGTGCACAGGACGGACATTAGCCAAGCCGAGTGACAGAAAGATAGAGATGGCGGATAGAAAACAAAAGAGGAACACGTCTGCGGAAAGATAAGCCAAGAAGTAGGACCCGTGTAAATATGGGATCAGCTTTCCAGCGCTGGAGAGAACTCAAGGAGCGGAGGCCTGCGATCGGACGCCGAGGTTGCTTTGTTTCTTCTCGATAGGTGAGTAACACCGTGTCTACAACAGCTAAAGTCTGCCTACACTGGACGCGATCAAACCACCGGTGAACACCATTTGAGATGTGTGTCAGCACGTCATAAATAGAACCCGGCAGCAGTTTTTATGTCGGGATTTGTTGCGCCGCGCCGCTCACGGCCGTAGACATGGTGTAACATTGGTTTTGCTTTGTTTCACAGAACTAATCGTTGCCTGGGTTGCGTACGTATGTGTGTGGGGCGGAGCTATCAAAATAGGGGCAAGACCCTTTTGGGGTAGGGGTGTGTTTGTTTTGGTGATTTCAAAGATCAACATTGGCTACCAGAAATCGCTTACCCTGCCTTTAAACTAAACTCATTTAAACCTGGCCAGTTTAAATATTAAAGAGCCAGAAGACGCGAACTCGCACGTGCAGTGAGAAGATCTGTGCTCATCCGAAGTGTGTGAACCCGCGTCTCAGAACGCGCACAAATATTAAGCTCTCTTTGAAGTATTGTGCTTGATTGTCAAAATGATTGGTGAGTATCCTAGCAGACAAAGTCGGCTGAGCGTACAGTATCAGTGCACTGGATCAGTGCGTTCTCTTAAAGTGACAGCACTTTCTTAATGTTAATCAAACAGCAACAACACGGAAATCACTCACTGCTCTTGACTGAATAACTTTGGTAACTTTAATAAGGATTAATCTTTCATTTATACAGTCAAATATGCTATGTATATATGTTATTTTACAGTTGATTACTTTATTCAATTTCTGTACCTAAAAACTAATGTTAGACCTACCTAAAAAAACAGAAAAACACAGTTTATTTTATTTGTATCTTTGCTCTATTGTATTTATTTGTGCTGTTGCTTGTAGTTAGATTATTTGTTATCTTTGTTATTTTTATTTGACAATATAGTTTTTTTTACCTAAACATAGCACATACCGAACCGCACCGAAACCGTGATACAAACCGAACCGTGAGTAAGCTGAACCGTTGCTAATACCGTCTAATATATATTATTAAATATATAGCATATACATTTATTAGTTTCATAAACCCCAATATAATCAACAAAACTGATCTCCAAAATACTTTTTATTATTAACTTTTTTATATAATGCTTCTATAATGAGACACTTAAAGACTCTTATTTGAAAAGAGACATGGTCATTGTATAACTGTATCATCTACACAAGCCATTGTGCTTGCAACAAATTAAACTGCATTGTTTCATTTA